AAGTAGTCTGGTGCCTATTTCCTATATGCTAATATAGGAAAGTAGGTGTGTCAGAAGAGACTAAGCAGTCCTCAGAGTCATGACAAAGAACAGAAAACCCATCAAACCAAGCAGCTCCACCAGGGGTATGCACTGCTGTAGCTATGTATATACCACACCTGAAGAGAAGAGGAATTCTTAGGGCGCATCTGCCTTGGAGACCAGTGTAGGAAGACAGTGAGAATAGGCACTAAAGCAGCACTTCCAGGAGTAGAAGCAGACTCTGGGCAAAACAGAAGAGAAAGAAGGCACTTCTAAGTGCAGTACATCCATATGTTTATTGGTAAAAATTGTTAACACCGCTTACAAAAGACGATAAGGCTTAGGCATATAGAACGTCAATTCAGGACACCTGTCACTTTCCTGGAGCTCTCTGTGCCATTCAGCAGCAGCAGGGAGAGCTCAGGTGCAACTCCAAGATGGCCACCGCTCTCCTGGGCCGTCGTAAAATGCGTGCCGTCCACGTGGAACGCACATCCTGGAAGTGATGTCAGTGGTGGGCGGTGATGCGTTTCGGAGCATGTGTAATATATCCATCATCAAGACTGCCTTGATGAAGGAGCTATTGCACATGCTCCGAAACACGTGATTCACAGCGGCCCAGGAAGAGCTGCGGCCATCTTGGAGTTGCACCTGAGCTCTCCCTACTGCTGCTGGATGGCACAGTTAGCTCCAGGAAACAGTGACAGGAGCCCCGCATTGACGTTCTATATGCCTGAGCGGTTTGAACCGTTTTTTACCAATAAATATGTGGATGTACTGCACTTGGAAGCGCCTTCTTTCTCTTCTGATATACCATACCAATGCCCCTGGAACCTGGAAACCACTAAAGTAGATACTGCTATTCCTGTGATCTCCACTTGCTTTTGGGTTCCGTTTGGTGGTTCCAGCCTGATGCATTCTGAACAAAGGAAGTCGGCTGCTTGGCATTATTAGAGCATATTTGACATTTTCTGAATTGGATGAGGTGGAGGATGGGGCAGTGATGTCCCGCTCTCCACCTCGTCCAATCACAGAATGCTTTGTATGTATTTAGAAAATGCAAAGCATTGTTTGAATGCTGCTGAAAGGCTGACCTCCTGTGTTCACAATGCATCAGGCCGGCCGAATAGCATGGGACCTTGAAGTAAATGGAGATCACTAAAGTAATGGTATCTTCTTCTGTGATTTCCAGCTTTCAAGGGCATCAGCCAGGTATGGACAAAGGTGGGCCAAAGTAATTATGTAAAAAGCATTCTTTTACTTTTTTTCCCTAGGTAAATTTACATAATTCGCACACCCCTTATATTTAGTGCAAAATATAATCAAACAAGTTTGTTGATTAAAATGATATTACATTCTTGAGACTTTTAGGTTACATAGCCAAATGATAAAGCTCAAAGTGAATATATGCATTAAGTTTAGAACTGCTTTAACGCTACACTGCAACAGACATAGGGGAAAGAGAAAAATGTTTGCATAAATTGTTAGCATAAAATAAGATTAATTTGGTTCGACAGGGCAGAGATTATACAAAGGCCACTTTTTCACAGGTTAGTGAAATGCTGAATATTTGAATGATTGTGAATGATATTGTGTTCACTTATAGGGGAGGAATTTATTTACTGAATTTTAGGAGAGATATAAATATATATATATATATATAAAATTATTTTTCTAGTTTCAATGTTTTAACACTTTCTATTGTCTCCATTGACCAGATCCAGACACCCCATTCAGCCTTGCAGTAAAACTTAACTTCTAAAAATATTGAGCTGGCAGCCAGCAATAGATCACTAGAGCAGTGATCAATTGCAGCAGGGACTCTGGAGATGCTGCATAGAGCTGCAAAAGCTCTGCCCCACCCTTCTTACTTAGAAGAATTGTTGTGATATAACTCATGATGTCTGATCCTTTCCAATGTAAACACACTATGGAACCATTGTGTGATCTACTATAAGAGAGCTTATGGAACACCATGTAGCAAGATCCAAAGGCCAGGAACTGATCATTGATGGCTGCTGGTTCCAGTTCACAAATCTACTTGAAAGCACAAGGAGGTAAGTGAGCGCTAAAATGGCTAAGCTGCTGAAACACCAAAAAGGTACCAAAAAAGCCTTCCAAAGCATTAATATAAAAATGGGTGCAGCATAAATATATATTACACACAATGAAAAGTGTCAAATGCAATAATCACATGAAACCTTAAATAAACAAATGAAACAATATCACAATATCCAGTAAAATATAAAGTGACTAGTGTGCAACAAGGTGGTATTGTATGTAATAAACCATGAAGTGATTGAGTGATGACGTAAATCTTTGTCACTGTGAAGTGACCACTGGTGCTAAATAAAGTGCCAATATTATTGGTTAAATGTCCATAAAAGTGATCTATGGAAGATCCAGTGATGATCTTCAATTGCTGGTGATCAATAACATCTATCCAACGGTATGGTGATGTGGCCGGTAATATAAGAATTGCGCACTCACCAGATGCGCAATCAAATCACGCATTTAGAGATATACACTCTCAGTGGGTCAGCTGGAGATCCCTTTAAGGGTATGTATGGTCTGGTCTGGAGTTCCCTCACTGCTTCCTCTGCTGTCAGCAATACCTCTGCCGTCCTCCTAATGCAGCTCTGTGGGTTGTTAAAGCTCTCCGGTCTCCTCTCCCCGCTGGCACTACCAGGCTCTGTTACTTGCACCCAAGAGAATTGCTGAGACTGGGTGCTATTTTAAAACAAAACTGAGACAAACAGCTACTGTCCCTGATTTATTTTAAAATGGCACCTTGGAGTGCCTTAAGTCCAACTCTATATACAGTATGTTTTTGGCTTTGGCTAGAGTAGTGAAGAGTTAACTTTTCAGGCTTTGATTTCTGTCTGTGACTGGACTGGAGGAATTTTTCCTTAGTTCCTATCCCTATGACACCCGTACAGGGGGTGCAGTTGTCACTGGAACAGGATGGCACAGACAGCAAACAAAAATGTTCAAACATTTTTAGCCTGTATGAAAAATATGATTTTGTTTTAATCTGTGTCCCTGTTGGAGAGATTTCCCATTACCAATTGTCCTGACAGAAAATAAGGAGAAATACAGAGACAGCAATAAACAGAAGATGGCCAGCACTACAGATTGCAGCTTGTAGTAATTGCTGAAGACCCTTGTGAATCATATAAAAGTGGTGGATTAGTAGATTTGTATTTAATTCACATCGATCTTCAGAAAATACTACAAGCTGAAATCTGGAGTGCTAGTCATCTTCTCTTTATTTGGGTTTAAACAGCATCATTGGTCATCATGTACTTACTACTAAAAAAAAAACAAAAATACAATAAAAGCCTGACAGAGGCTCTACGTCTTCACCCCTATCGAAAACAAAATATTTTTTACCTGGAACTGGGCATTATAGCTTAAAGAAAATGTAAACCCAACAAGTCATACTCCTGATATGTGCCTGCTGTGCCATGTGCTTCCTTTGTGTGAAATCCCAGGTGTTCCTACCAGTACCTCTGCTCTCTTAAAAACTGACCACACTAAGCAGGAGAGCACACCATGGTCAGGTCTCTAGCTCAGCTAAGAACTCAGTCTGCTCTCCTTCAATGATCAGGCTTGTGCTGAATCCCCCCCCCCCCCCCCCCCCCCCCCCCCCCCCACACACACACACACACACACAGCCATTCGCTGGGAAGGTTAGTGTGCTGCAGTTTCTCCTCCGCTAGGTCTTATGCAGCTGAAATCACTCATTCATGTAATCACAAAAAAATGGGGGAAAAGGTGTATATAATGTGCTTATATCTATACACAAATGGTTTGCCTTTTATTTCTATTTGAAACTGGGTGGGTTGTTTTACAAGGTGAGAGTTTAAAATCACTTTAATTCTAGGAATTATTTGGATTGCATATTTACATTGGTCCAGCGTGGTGCAATGCAAGTATGCATAATGCATACTGAAATGATTACAGTGTCATTTCGCTTGAGCATTCTCAAATTCATTCACCCCCTCCCTTTTATAGTCATACCCTGTTACTGTTTAGGATTGACCCATTTCTGAGTTATGCAAAGTCTGAACCTCAGTCTGAATGCTGTCTTTTCTACATTATAAAAACTAATATTGAACACAAAATAAGTCTGTCTGCTTTCGCTGGAAAAGCTGTAGCTGTTCTAAAATCTAGGGGAGTTGTATTTGTGTCCAATTGAAAGTGTAATACTTTGCAAAGGTTCTTTTCATGTGAACATTCTTTTCTTGAAATTATTTTTCTGCCCCATTAGGAACTACTACAACTCCGAAAGAACTTTGAAAGAAAGCCAGTGGGTCAGCATAATACCAGGTAATTAGTATTTTCAGAAGAAGGTCAGAAATGGCAGTTATGACAGGATAACTTCAACGTGAGATGCGGAATTACTTCAAATTGCATAGCAATCTTGCTTTTAGTAACTTTTAATTTTAACCACTTGTCTACCGGGCACTTTCACCACCTTCCTGCCCAGGCGAATTTTCATCTTTCAGCACTGTCGCACTTTGAATGGCAATTGCGCGGTCATGCAACACTGTACCCATATGACATTTTTATCATCTTTTTGCGACAGATAGAGATTTCTTTTGGTGGTATTTAATCACCGCTGGGTTTTTTATTTGTTGCTAAACAAACCAAAAAAACAACTGAACATTTTGAAAAAAATAACTTTTTTTTCTCAGTTTCTGTAATAAAATTTTGTAAATGAGTAATTTTTTGCCTTCGCTGATGTGCGCTAATGAGGCTGCAGTGATGAGCACTGATAGGCTACACTGATGGGCACTGATAGGCAGCACTGATGGGAACTGATGAGGAGGCACTGGTAGGTGGCACTGATGGGGATTGACAGGCATCACTGGTGGCATTGACAGACATCACTGATGGGCACTGAAAGGCAGTACTCATATATGGCACTGATAGGCGGTACTGATATGCAGTACTGACTGGCACTGTTAGGTGGCACTGTCTGGAACTGTTAGGCGGCACTGACGAGCACTGATAGGCGGCACTGACTGACACTGATAGGCGGCAGTGATGGTTGGCACTGAAAGGCAGCTCAGATGGGTACTGATATGTGGCATTGATGTGCACTGGTAGGCACTGACATGTGGCATTCTTATGCACTGATGGGCACTGACAGGTGGCATTGAAGGACACTGACAGGTGGCACTCATAGGGCTACACTGATCATCAGGACACTGATCATCAGTGCCCTGATGATCAGTGTAGATATCCCCTCTGAAGTATGCCGATTACCATCTCTCCTCTCCTCACGAGCTGTCAATGTGACAGCTCGTGAGGAGAGGAATGCAGATAACCGGCATTTCCTTACTTACATGCGATCAGCTGTGATTGGACACAGCTGATCACATGACAGAGCCAAAGTCATCAGCTCTTTCCGCTGATCGGTGATCCACTGTGTCCTAGGGAGTGCACATGCGCAGTTAGAGTTGGACGTCATATGACATCCTCCCAGAATGAGAGAACCGCCGCGCTCCCGTCTTTTCCTTCTATGGCGGGCAGGAGGCGGTTAAACACTGTTCATGCACTGCTTCATATGCACAAGTCACCATACAAAGTATTGCTGGGATGTTCCTTGCCTTCTCAATACTGGATGTATCACTTTTGTGCTCTCAAGGCACTTGGGGGTTTATTTACTAAAGCTGGAGCGTGCAAAATCAGGCTCACTTCTGCACAGAAACTAATCAGCTTCTAACCTCGGCTTGCTCAATTAATCTTTGGCAATAACAGGAAGCTGATTGATTTCTATGCAGAAATAAGCCTGATTTTGCACTCTCCAGCTTTAGTAAATAAGCCCCTTGATGTAAAAGTTTTGTAATTAACCAATTCAGGCTCAGTGTAGTCAAGCACCCAGTGTAGTAGATGCTGCACCTTATACTGTATCATTTTAAAACAACCATGAAGGCACTGCTGTCACTCTTCACTTCCCCTTTTGCCCCTTCTCTATTTTCCCACTAAGGTCACAGTCCAAACACAGGCCCTGGGTATGTATTCTAAAAACTGGATCATAGAATATTGCATATGTAGTACAAACATACTTGATGTGTATTGGTATTCCCCCACCCAGGCTCAAAGAAAGTAACAGCTGTAATCTAATTGGCTGCTGTGGATAACTTTAATATGGTTGGCTTCTGTGTGTGTACTTCTTTCTTTGGTTCTTATAGCCTATCTCTGGGGGAAAAAATCCTCCTTTACAGTGGGGCTGCCCCTGCACTGCAAGGGTTAAAAGCAGGGCTTTTTTTCAGCGGGACCGTGGTGCAACGCAGTTCTGGCACCTTCAGCACTGATTATATGTAATGGCAAGGGGTGCTTGGGTGTGCTGCAGTGCTTATTGATACTGGCTGCTGGGGAATCTATTGTTGCTAGTGGGGATCTATTTTTGCAGGTGGGTCTATTGTTGCTGGGAAGGTCTATTGTTGCCGGTGGGGGATCTATTGTTACTGGGGGAGGGGTCTTATGTTGCCAGGGGATCAATTGCTGCTAGGAGGGATCTATTGTTGAGGGAGGAGTCTGTTTGTTGTTGCTGCCATGGCCTATTGTTTCTGGGTGTGGGGGGGCTGTATTTTGTTGCGGGTGGTCCATTGTTGCTGGGAGATCTATTGTTACTTGGGGGGTCTAGTGTTGCTGGCTGCAGGGGATCTATTTTATTACTCTTCTTGTTCTCAGTAACAAATTCCATACAAATCACTTAACACCACAAAATGATACTTGATTCTGTATTCTCTAATAGGGTTGTACTGGAAGATGGGTAGGGGGTGGAACCAAGGAACGGTGCTCGGAGGTGGGTAGTGGTGGAAACGAGGGTTGATTCAGAAAGGGGAGGTTCCTGCACCTATCTATGAGAACAAAAGCCCTGGTTAAAAGAAAACTATGGTGAAAGCTGATAGTGGGCTAAATCAGCTGATAGCAGGCTAAAGGCAAAGCCTGCTAAACCCCACTGTTGCCTTACATCACAGAGCCGCTCCAGTATCTTGACAATAATGTCTGGATGCCTGATCGGCAGCTTGCTCAGCTTCTCAGCGGCCCAAGCCAGCCTCCCCTGCCCCCTCTCCTGTCCGGCACTCTAGTAAGCACTGGTGGGGCAGACCAGAGTGAGAGGACTGACATTCACCTCTCCCTGCTGGTAGCAGACCAAGAACTGATTGATTAACGCTCATGTGATCACTCAGTTATTGGACTTAAAGCTGGAAGGGGACAGCCACAGCATCAGATGATGCAGCAGCATACAAAGAGTATGTGTGTTTGTTTTTTTCTATTCCAACACTTCTCCTTTAAATGCTTATTTAGCTCTAGGGTACTGGAAAAAGCATTTTCACTTACCCAATCCACTGCTTCCCTAGCAACCAGCGCTCTCCTCTTCTCCTCTTCACTTTGGTAGTAGACTGTCCCTTGGCATTCTCAAGACTAATGCAGGGCCATGGACCCTGCCTTGTGCTTGATGACATTAGAGGGCATACAACAGCCGGAGCACAGAGAAGAAGAGGCTGTAGGGACCAGTCTAGCAGTGCGGAGGAAGCCTGTTGGAGTGGAGAATTGGGTAAGTAAAATTGCTTTTTCCAGTACCCTAGACCTAAAAAAGCATTTATCCTTGCCATATGGGAGCAGCGCCACTGCCAAGGAGGAGTTTTGTTTTCCTCAAAGAAAGGGTTTAAGAACCAGAAAAAGACATATACTTTAAATGCTGAATTCCAAGATTAGCAAATATTATGTGTTGGTGTGAATTGTGTATTTTTTTCCAGATCTGTGCAGTAATCAAGTGCAGAAATAATAAAGTCTGGTCACTACTGCTCTCTTTTTGTTCAGGGTGACTGGTTTTGTATCCACCCCCTTCTGCATTTTTCTACAGGTAGCCTGTATTTGCTGGACCTATTGGGTCACCCTCCCACAACTCTGCTCTCTGATCAGGCTATGTACAGAAAGTGCCAAGGCCACTGCTGCTTTTACAAGCTAAATAACTGGGCTTGCAAAGGTGTTTGGTGCAAACAAAGTGGATTCATATCCTTTGTGGCTACGGAGTTAGAATATTCAAATTATAGTTTTTGTGTCCGGAGTTCAGCTTTATAAATCAACTGCACTCAGTTTTGCTAGTATGGACCACCTTGCATCCTTACTGTCTTTCATGTGCATGTATATATATATATATATATATATATATATATTATTATTTTTTTTTTTTTTTTTGCAAAAGACTATTTATACATATGTACCCAACACATTTCTAAACGCTTGCTGTTTAATGGTAAATGTTAAGGAAAAGCTACAAAATGAACACATCCCACCTTTGTCACTATCTATCATGATAACCTTCCTGCCCCAGAAAATGAATTCCTGGCATCTGTGGTCAGAGACCAGTGAAGTGTAATTCCATTATTAAATCTCTACACACATTCCCAGTGAACTATAAATAGCACATTATTATTTCATATCATAATACCTGAGAGTGCAGCTAATGAGTCTGAAGAGATGGTATTACACATTTATGTCCAGAAAACTAAATCCTTGACAAAGTGATCTTTGATTCCATAGTCAGACCCTGATTATATATATATATATATATATATATATATATATATATATATATATATATATATATATATATATGATTTATGTATATGGTATATAAATATATATATATATATATATTGTCTGAAAAAAAAATAATTTAGATAGTATATTTATAAATTACCTAAATGTACTATCCAAACGTATTATATACTGTATATAGACAGCATATACAACCTGTGGCTTTGCATGTACACACAGCAGCATATAAGCCTCTTGTACACTGATTCCTAAAAACATTCTTAGGCATACAGTCATTTTTTACTCATGTAGATGCAGACCATTGTTTTTAGTGTGCTTGTACACACAGGATACATGCGCTGTGATTAGATTCATTTCTGGGCAGTATTTCACAAGCCTATAAGTGCAAATACGTGCATTTTGCGTTATCTATACTGCTTATCCTTGCATTTTTAGGAACAAATTTTCGGTCAGAAATCGGATGGTCAAACATCAGTATTATGTGCAAGCACCCATATAGTTATGGGTAGATTTTAGTTGTTCCAGAGCAGTTGGCAAGATACATGTTGAATATCAGCAAATACAGTAATACAGTGGGGTAGATTTACTAAAACTGGAGCACTCTGGTGTCTGGAATCTGGTGCAGCTGTGCATGGTAGCCAATCAACATCTAACTTTAGCTTGTCCAATTAAGCTTTGGAAATAAAACCTGGAAGCTGATTGGTTTCTGTGCAAAGTTGCACCACATTTTTCACTCTCCAGTTTTGGTAAATAACCCCACTAATTGTTCTGTGCTTGAATAATAAGGTATAACTCATAGCAACCAACCACTGTTCTTACCATAGAAGATGTCATTGGCTCCTATGGGTTACACAGCACTCAGCCCATTAATTTTGCTCTTTGAACTACCTTATTATGTATGTTCAAACATGTCTATGAATGTAAATGTTGACACTACATAACCTGCTGGGAAATGACAATTCCCCAATGCTTGTGTGCTTCCTAGAAATAGATTCTTGATGGAAAATGTACTGAACTGGGTTGACCTCTGTTCCCAAGACAAGAAAAGAACTACAAAAGCCAATACACAGGGGCAGAAGTTCGCCGGTTTCAAGCGTCCTAGTCTGCTACCAGAAAACTTTATCTGAAATTACTTCTTTTCTTCAGAAATGATAGAAAATGTGATAACAGTGTGGAGCTTTGCAAGCCGCTTCATGTGTTCCCAAGTGACACTGTGCGGTATTTAATTAGAAAATCACATGGTGTCACTTTGTCATGTGTTCTGCGTTCTTTGACAGAATGAAGCAGGGTAATGGTCTCACCTGTGCGAGTGGCAAGGCACCCTCCTCTCAGCTGGTTCTCTTTGGCATCATGGGGTGTTGGGGCGTTCCTAGCCTGAGTCCTGACACATGTTTCCCGCAGGTGCAGCACCCTGCGAGTGGTTGCCCAGGATCAGTCTTTTCTGCTGGGTTTCAGCTGGGATTCATGCTTGCTGAACATTCATTATCCATGATCCAATGGCCAGACACACTTCACTCTGCCAGAAGATAGATATGCAGATCTTGAGCTGGTGATATCCAGGTAGAGCTTCTCAGCAAGGGTTAAAGAGCAAAGGGCCCAATGAAAACGCTCAGTCCACTGTGCATGTCATTAACTCCAGAAAAAGAACATGTTCCTTGGGGACAGAAAACAGGAAATCAGCTCTAAATAAAGAAGTACGGACAGGCTCTGTCACATCACCAGCTCTATTATTTAGACTACACTAATGCATGCATCTAGGAACCATGTATCTATCTATCTATCTATCTATCTATCTATCTCTCAATCCATAT